GGCTGCAGTAACACAAGTGTGCAGGGCCATTAATCACTTCCTGCTATGAAGGACTGTGACTCTTGGCAATGTGTGTGAAATAGTGGATGGCTTTTCAGAAATGGGATTCCCTAATTCATTAATGATCTGGATGATGGGCTGGACTGTACCCTCAGCAAGTTTGCAGATGACACTAAGCTGGAGGGAGAGGTAGATATCCTGGAGGGTAGGGATAGGGTCCAGAGTGACCACACACTCTACAGACTGGGGACCAACTGGGTAAGTGGCAGTTCTGCAGAAAAGGACCTGAGGATTACAGTGGACGAGAAGCTGTATATGAGTCAACAGTGTGCCCTTGCTACCAAGAAGTCTAATGACATATGGGGCTACATTAAAAGGAGCATTGCCAGCAGATCAAGGGAAGTGGTTCTTCCCCTCTATTCAGCACTGGTGAGGCCGCATCTGGAGTATTGCATCCACTTTTGGGCCCCCCAACTCAGGGCCAGCTCTAGGCACCAGCAAACCATGCACGTGCTTGGAGCAGCACATTTTCAAGGGCAGCATTCAGGCCATTTTTTTTGTGCTTCCGGCGGCAAAAGCCTAGAGCCGGCCCTGGCAGCAGCAGCACGTCATGCACGGGGTGCACCCTGTAGCTGCTGCGGTTCATGCCGTGGGGGAGCAGTGCCCACACCTTGTGGCTGGGCCGGGCAGGCTTCGAGCGGGGGACACTCAGGCTGGGGGACACCCCACGGGGCACACGGAGCCGCCTGCAGGTGCCACAGGGCGGCCACCCCCAGCACAGCAGCCAGGGCTGGGTGAAGCAGCCCAAGCTGCCCAGGGACTGTGGCAGGGCGGCCAGAAGCAGCAGCAGCAGCGGGGCCATAGAGGGTGAGGCGCTGTCGTGCGGGGCCTGGGTCCTGCTCTCCGGGGCTCCGCTGCCTCTGGGGCTACCCTGCCCAGGCTCCTCAGCCCTCTGCCGGGGCGGTTCCCCAGCTCTGCCCTCCCGGGTCCTGGAGGTAGGAGCCCTGAATGGAGGGACCCTGGGCTGAGGCACGGCCCGGGAGCCCCGCTTCTTACCCCGACCCTGCCAGCCCCGGACCAGCTGGAGGTGAGGGGGGAGCGGGCAGAGTCATCACTGGTGGGGGGAGCCCAAGGCTGGGGCAGCAGTGGGTGCAGGTGGGGGGGTAAGAGAGAGCCCAGGGCTGGAGTGGCAGAGGGTGCGGGTGGGAGGGGGGGAAGAGAAAGCCCAGGGCTGGGATGGGGGGCAGCCAAAAATTTTTTTTGCTTGGGGCGGCAAAAAACCTAGAGCCAGCCCTGTCTCAACTACAGAAAGTATGTGGATAAATTGGAGCATGTCCAGCGGAGGGCAATGGAAATAATTAGGGGACTGGGGCACATGAATTATGAGGAGAGCCTGAGGAAACTGGGCTTATTTAGTTTGCAGAAGAGGGGGGAAGGGGGATTTGATAGCAGCCTTCAACTATTTGAAGGGGGGGTTACAAAGAGGATGGAGCTCGGCTGTTCTCAGAGGTGGCAGATGCCAAAACAAGTTGCAACGGTCTCAAGTTGCAGTGGGGAAGGTTTAGGTTGGATATTAGGAAAAACTATTTTATTGGATGGTGGTGAATCTCTGGAATGGGTTACCTAGGGAGGTGGCGGAATCTCCATCCTTAGAGGTTTCTAAGGCCCGGCTTGACAAAGCCCTGGCAGGGATGATTTAGATGGGGTTGGTCCTGCTTTGAGCAGGGGTTTGGACTAGATGACCTCCTGGATGGAACACATATCCCAATTTTGGCCCCGGACCATCTTGCAATAGAGTACATCAATAGATAGGGGTACTTCTCCACTGTATCTCAGGTGCTAGTGGATCACTGTGGACGTTTCACTGACATCAACATGGGGTGGTCCGGTAACATTCATGGCATGCATCTTCAGGATCACTGGCGTGTACAGAAAGCTGCAAGAAGGGACTTTCTTTCCACACCCGAAGATTCCAGTGTGGAAAATGCCCATAGTGATCTTGGGAGACCCAGTGTATCCCTTACTCCCATGGCTAATGAAGACTTACATGGAAAACCTGGACAACAGCAAGGAGTGCTTCAACAATAGCCCGAGAAGGTGCAGAATGACTGTGGGATGTGCCTTTCGCATAGTCATGTCATTCTGGCACTGCATTTATGGCAGGTTAAACCTAAATGAGGAAAACATTCCCATGGTCATAGCAGCCTGTTGCAAGCTCCATAATATTTGTAAGGCTAAGGGTGGTTCATCTGGCTGCTGATTTTGAGCAGCCAGATACCAGGGCTATTAGATGCGCACAATGGGGGGCTATTAGAATCAGGGAGGCTGTGAGGAAAAAATGTGATAATGAAGACCAGTAATGTGTACTTCTACACAGGAATCTGCCATGCTTCAGTTATCTTGTTTTTTTCTAAAAATTGTGATGATTCCTGAGTGGGATTTGTACTAAGCAAATGATTAAACTGCATCTATGCATTACTATCAGCAACAATCACTATGTGTAGGACACAAATAAAGATTGGTTCTGTTTCAGACAGTTTGTTTTTATTAAATTAACTCACACTAAAAGCTTGGTGGGACAAGAGATATCAGTGAAGGGCAGTGTAAGGTCTCAGAGCTGTGCCTAAATCCAGCTATCATTTTGGAAACTGACCAAAGGGGTGGAGTGAACAGGGTATCGAGATGTGCGGGGAAGTTGCAAGGAATGTGTGGGAGGAGTTTGGGTAAGGACCGGAAAACAGTTCTGTATCGGCTACAGGGGGTCAGGCACACATCTATTCCACTGTAGCATGATTAGGGACTTCAACATCTCTGTTTGCTCCTCCATCACTTTTATCATCCACTCATGGGCCTTTAGAATGTGCTCCTAACTCTCCTTTCTGTCCTGCCTTTACTTGTGTTCTCTTTTTTCTGCCTCTGAGGATTGGAGGACCTCTCAGAACGTGTCCTCCTTGCTACACCTTAGTTGCTTCCTTATTTGGCAAAGACACTCCACTCATGTGTAGGGGGTTCCCCTGAAGGCCACATCTGTAGAAGCACAAGAAACAATACATAGAAGCATTATTGTTAGTGCATGAACAGTATTAAATAATTATAGTTAAATAACCTCTTGTTACATACCAATCATTTTCTCACTGACCCTTGGGGCAAGCATACATCTTGGTGAACACTCTAAACATGGTGAGTTTGGCCTGGGTCGGGTTGGGCATTCAGGATGGGCCAAAGATTGTAGGTGATGTTTTTAGGGGATCACTGAAGGAAACTAGGGACAATATTGCAAATTCTGCCACCGTCCTCCATAGGCAGGGGGTCACTGAAGCTGATATCTCTCTCCTGAGGGTAAGCAAGGATGCAAGGGTGCATCTACTAAAATGCATGTGGTTTCAAATCCAGTCCCTATGCTGCTCACCTGTGTGCCGCTTTGGTCCCTGCACAAGTGATTGCTGAGTGGTGTTAGAAAGTTTTCTACCATGGGGGAAGGAACAAAGCAACTCTGCCAAGAAACCTTTAGCAGAGGATTGCCAAGTACCTTCAGGAGAATTTCCTAGAGATCTCTCTGGAGAATTCCTGCGAAATCTCAGTGTGCATTAACACACTGTTCTGCTGCACTGCTTACCTACACAGGAGGATGGGGAGCACCCTCAAACACAGCTTGCACATTTCTATCCCTTCAGCCACTTCTAGAATATACAGAGCAAAGGACAGCCTTTGGAGTATCAGAAACAGGATGAAATTTAATAGTGAAAAGTGTAAGGTGATGCATTTAGGGATGACTAACAACAATTTTAGTTACAAGCTGGGGACGCATCGGTTAGAAGTAACCGAGGAGGAGAAAGACCTCGGGGTTCTTGTAGACCGCAGGATGACTATGAGTCGACAATGTGACGTGGCGGTGAAAAAAGCCAATGCGGTCTTGGGATGCATTAGGCGAGGTATATCTAGTAGGGATAAGGAGGTGCTGCTTCCATTGTATAAGGCACTGGTGAGACCTCATTTGGAGTACTGTGTGCAGTTCTGGTCTCCCATGTTTAAAAAAGATGAACTCAAACTGGAACGGGTACAGAGAAGGGCCACTAGGATGATCAGAGGAATGGAAAACCTGTTGTATGAAAGGAGACTTGAGGAGCTCGGGTTGTTTAGCCTGACCAAACGAAGGCTGAGGGGGGATATGATTGCTCTCTTTAAG